CCGTAATGACGCACACGAAACCCCATGAACATGCACCAACCTTCATAAAAAAGGACGATGGCAGAAACAAATGGCTCACCTTCGTGATGCACAGTCTAGACGAACCAGGAGAAGATTACTGCAAATTCAACAAAGATCCGGTAGATCACAGTCAACAAGAACAATCTCATAAAAGTCAAAGTAATAGCAAATGAGATTTCACTATATTCCAACCCCAAACTAATATAGAGGATTTAGAATTTGACCCAACCAAATGGCATGGAACCTAAAACAAAAGTTCACAACAATCAACCGAATAACCAATATGATCAACTACACAACCAGCCTAGGCTATAAACTCAGACGTAGATTAGCAGCCCCAGAAACAGTCATAGCAGACCGCTGGAATAGACACCTCGAAGTAGATCCTGAGATTTTAAAAGAAATTTCATGGAACCAAGTGGCAACACTACATCCACCCAAGTTCAAAAGTCTACAATGGTTAATCCTATACCTAGCAATCCTACTTAATTAATGGTTGAACATTCGAAGAAGAAAAGAAAATAGAAACCCCTTAAATGAACTATGTGCCAACTGCTCAGAAGGGCAGATAGAGAATCTCTTCCACTGCTTCCTCCATTGCCCCAAGATCAAACCCATATGGAATAAGATTCAACAAATATGGTTCTCAATAACCAACACAAATTTCACAACAAACACTACCCTTATCCTCCTAGGATTCACAACACCCGAAGACTGACCCCCTTTGCAAAACAATCTATTTCAAATCCTGCGTAAGTCAGCACTATGGTCCATATGGAGAAAAAGATGTCAGGAAACGATGGAAAAACAACCAACGCACGTGAAGGAAGCATGGAGTTTACTCAGCCAACATGTAGAAACATAATACTGGGTTCTATGGCACGAAGTCAAGAGGAAAATGAAAGCGAGTGTACCCAAAGCCAAAGAACTCCAAATGTGAAGACCCGCCATAGAACAGACTGAGAACACTGCTGATTTCTGAAGTTCTGCCGATGGAATGGATGCCTTGCTGAGATTCCCGCATTCTGCTGTGTTTTCTAAGTCTGTATGTGTGTGTGCCTGTGGACTTGCGTGCCTGTCTGAGTGCTTGTCGGCATGAGTGTGTGTGTGACCCGGAAGGGTACTTGCTTGTTTGGCAGGCCCGTAGGGCCGGTACTCACCTGTGGCCGTGGCATTAAGGGTTGCAGCGGGGGAAACACTCAAGTAGCGGAGCCAGGGGCCCGCGGTGCTTAGAGCAGTGGAAAAACACTCAAGTAGCAGGTAGGCCAGTACCACACCCAGTAGCAGTAGATGTGCCGGATACTCGAGGCCAAGCAGAAGAAGACAAAGTTAGCATCTTTAGAGGCCTAGTAGTGGTAGGCTAGGTCTAGGCCGGTACCAGTCCATCCAGTCTAAGTCTAGAGCCTGTGCGGGCAATATCAGAGTCTGCAGTGATGTTTCCCTCCGAAAGGGAGGAGGTACCGGTTGCTTGGGAGGCTGAGCGGCCTGGAAGTCACCACCCAGGAGGCAAGCAGGCCACTATATCAAGAGGCCGAGGCAAGAGCTCGGCCTCATTCTTCAGTGTGCAAGTTTGGCGACACGCTGCTGGAGCGCTGGCTGGAGTGGCGCTGGGTACTACAGCGCAGCTGGGAGGAAGAAGCCGGGAGCTTCCACCTTGGCTATGGTGGAGAGCTCTACCGGTAGGAGGAGGAGGGAGAAGGGGACCAAGGAGGAGAGTGGTGGGGTACTTACCTGGCTATGGCAGACACCATCTTCATCACCTTGTTAGGCGCTGCATCTGGAAGGCCCCAGTGGGGKTAGTGCCGCATCAAGGAAGCTCGGGGCAGAGTCAGGCRTGGCGGTTGAGTGGGGCAGCGGTATAGCTGCATGGTGTTGACCTTGGGACAGAAGGGCAGCGACATAGCTGCTTTGGGTTGTCCTTTGGACAGGAGGGAGAGCCCTCAGTGCWCYKCCATAGCCTCGGYCTGTATGTAGAGGAAGAGGAAGGGTGGCCAWGGCTATGGTGGACCTCATGTTGTGCCTGCAGTAGAAGTGGGATTCGGACATTGATTCTGGTTCAGTCATTCAACATTATTATTGTYATTTCTTGTTTGAATAAGAGGGGAGGAGATAAGGAGGAAGAGATTGGTTGGCGAAGAAGAAGAGCCTTGTCATTGGTCTATGCTGGAGTACATCATCTCCTTCTTCTTTCTTACTTCTTCTTCTTCCTCTTCTTCTTTCCCTCTCTCTCCTCTCAAGTTCATTCATTTCTTTTTGCGATTGGATGACATTGTACTTTCAGATGAATGTATACTTCGGAATTGGCCAGGATCGTAACACAAACCAAATTTGAGGATGTTTATCTTGCCAAGGGTAAGATAGCAATCGTCAAAGGTCAGGGCCCAATCTTCGCAATGTGGAACGACACAACACAGAACACTAATCCAAACTCAAGACAAACGACTAGCACACCAGACTCATTGAGCATCCAGATCAATTCCATCTAATGCACCGCAGGTATACTTACCAAAGGCATTCGAGGAGCACATTGGACTTCCCCCCTTCCCCATCGAGAACAAACAGCCCCCCTGCAACATCTCAGCCACAAACGACAACACAACAGAGGCCTTTACTAACAGACTACACGCCAAACATTAAACCCCCACAGACCTCATCGCCACCATAAGGAATCACACAGTCCTAATTCCCCCTCAACCCCCTCAAACCCCTCATAGCCCTCACTCCCCTCACGCACACACCTAGCCCCATTACCTCCACACAAATCCCTAATCCCAACCCATACCCTCCCAGCCACGACACCACACACTGGAACACATCACCCATCCAACCCCACAGCCTAGACCTACAAACAACCCACACATTCTCTTCGCAAGCCAGCAAAACAGTACCAGTTCCCCCCCACAAACAGTTCCCAAAACGACTCTTCCCTCCAGTTAACGCAAGAATAACTTGGATTATGAGTTATAGACCATAAGAAGAGATTTCAAGGAAAGGTTTAGCAGGCCAACTAAATTAGCTAGGGTTTATTTCTTAGCGCCAGGTAGATTTTGCAGGTTAAGAAAGATAAAAAAGGGAGCATAGAATTTAATATCATCCACAGATTCAGTAGCCATTAGCAACTAGATCTGAGAGGGTTTAGGGTTAATAAGGACCTAATGAGGAGGTTCAAGTCTACAGCTCTCATATTCAATGAGAATCTGACAGTCAAAGAACTGAGAGGAGAGGAACAGGTTAGATGAGACCTCCTTCAAGCAAGCCGACAGGGTCCACATTACTGGGTTCGTTTCCTCGTCTTAGAGTCAAAGTAGAAGAAATCAGCCTAGCTTAGGCAGGGGTGAGGGGTGGTACATCCTTCCGGCAAAAAGTAATCAATGTCGTCCCTCGGGGTTTCCTACCTTAAAGGGGAAGAGTGTGTGTGTGTGTGTGCTATACATATTTCATCTTGACTTGCCGGGGAATAGGAACTGGACTGTTTCTCCCGAGAATGGGAAGGAGCCAGAACCATAAGGTTCTGTTTTTTTTTTTTTTTTTCATCAAGCCGCCCTCTTGGAGGGTGTCTGGGTCGAGGCCCCCTGTTTGCCTGTGGCTCCACTTGAACTGGATTAAGTAAGCCCCCTTCCAATCTACCGACTTTTTCTGTCCCAGGCTGTTCTTCACGAAAAAAAGAATTTGTTCAATTTGACTGTTATTTCCTGCTGCCTGGCACTATAACAGCACTAGCAGGGCAAGATGGAAAGAGTAAGAGTCGTCCCAGGATTTATAAGAAATCAGGAGGCCCATTTCTGAGGGTCTAGAGGGGGAACTCTGACTGGTTTTGGTCCGTTTTATTGGCAAGAGGGGTAGAATATCATCACACACGGGCGGAATGGCGGTATGGTATGGGCTTAACTGGCAGTAAATCCTTCCCGAGGGAAGCAAGCTATGCTGGCAGGGTTCCCTGGGCCGTAACGTGGGGAAGCGTGTTGAGTGGGATGATTGTTGTACTCAAGGGACGCTGGACCCGGATTACAGCAGCTGACACTCCCCACCAATAGAAAGGAGAAAGGAGCCTTGCCTTTGTGAAAAAAAAAAGAAAGAAGGATCATGATCATGCAGAGCCCTCAACAGAGACAGCCTTCAGCTAGTTATTTGAAAGATGGTCACCCACGCTCGCCGACAAATCTACAGCTTTGCCCCTGGCTTCCGGGATGGAAACCGCCCGATCTATCCCAACCAAGAATGCGAGGGGATCATAATTGTCAAAGCCCCATCTGACGGGCAATTAGAACCGAGGGGTCCGTCTTAGCCTCTGAATTCATTTTGGAGGTAAAGTAGTCAGGGCCCATTGGGGTCCCCTTGGACTCACAATGTGGCAACATACTGTACATTCATTCACTTTTCTTTTCTCTTCTCTTTTCTTTGTTGAAGCTGCTTCAGCTAGTGGCCTGGGTTTGTCTGGGCCTATGGGTGAAAACCTCTGTAGCATTTCATCTAGGGATGCTGGACCCGTTGTCCAGCACTGCTCTCAGTCTCAATGTTCTTTGTGCTTATGTTTGGTGATTACATTTTTGGATTACGTGAACGTTTGACTGCAGGTTCATTGATGAGTGGATTGCTCCAGGAATATCTACTGATCAATTTCTTCACATGCATGTGCAGTGTGCACTTTATACGGATTGATGCGTGGGCAATTGCATGAGATGCGAAGTAAAAGAGCACGAGCACGAGATGTGCTGACCAAACCACAAGAAGACCAGTGACAACTGAAAAATAAGTAGAGGGTTCTTTCCTTTCGGATTCTTTGGAGTAAATGAGCATGACATGTGCTGACCAAATCACACGACTACGAAAATTAGGATCCCCCTCCTTCCTCTCCTACCCCCCCCCCATCCCCCACCCCCCCCCTTTTCCTACCAAAATCACATTGGAGCAGCAAAGCAAATTCAATTCTTGCATTACTTGAAAACCACCCTTGTATCCAAAAAACAAGGCCACCAAAATCTTGTCTAGCATATGGTGCTTGATCCTTTTTTACCGGCCAGCATGAAAAATGCATGGCCTGCAGTAACTCAGCAGACCCTGAAATACAGTGCTGAGTCTGGTGAGAGCTTAACTAACTGTGCAGCTGAAAAGTTGAAAACCCTGAAAGCGTGTTTACTGACTTGCAGATCTTCGCCAATATTAAATACGACGTGTAGCTCCTTGCATATCTATTATCTATTGAATAATTAATAATTATTAATTTTACTTGGTATATGTAAAATCTCCAAGTAGAAACTCAGATAAAACAGTCAATTCAGTACTAAGATGGAGCAGGGTTTTCCACACATCTGAAGAAGGGGAAAAAACAGAAATGTTCTGGTTTATATTACGTACCTGGAAGCTTGGATCAAAACACTGTACCAAAAGTGATGTGAAGGTGAGCAGAAAAAGGAAGGGATCATATCATTCATAATTAAGTGTTAGTTATCATTAAGTTATTAAATAGAATAACTAATACTCAAGGCATCAAAGATGCATTTTCTACGGGATCCCAAAACCACCAACCGCAATTCGTAGATCACCAGAAAAAAGGTGCGAACACCCGGAAAATGAAGACGAAGGCTGACAATATTGGAACGGGAGGGAGATGCTTCTGTCCGATCTGATGTCCTCATGACAGCTTCCTTCCAATCTCGCCGGAACTGTTCTCTTCCAGATCAAAACAAATTGTTCGATTGACGGCAAGAGAAGAAGAACCGAATCCGGCACACTGCCGCAAATTACGTCAAGCTTAGGTCAGTTTGGCAGCTCAAGGTGCCTTTGCCAACTTAAGGCTTCCTTCCTCTGTTGTGGCTTTTGTTCTTGCTGCTGCTGCTGCTCTGCACCTGGTCATTTCATATTGCTGACTTCATCTGACTGCCACTGTCAAGAAATGGGGTTATTGCGGGAAAGGAGATCCGATGCCCCCTCTTGCAAGAACTGTACTCCCTCAGGGGGCAATCAAAGAGCTGCACATACCATGGAAAACAGTCCAATGCAGATAATGTAATGAGCATCAACAGCACCACCACCATGACCACCTTCTTCTTCTTCTTCTTCCTCAGCGCTTTCCTTCTTCCCCCCCCCCCCCCCCCCCCCCCTTTAATCCTTAATCCTCTTGTTCTCCTTCCTCAGAACTTTCCTTTTTTCCCCTTGCAAGACTTGTGCTCACTCAGGAAAGTGGGCCTGTGTAACGCCTGTCTCTTATACACATCTAGATGTGTATAAGAGACAGGGAAAGTGGGCCTGTGTAACGCTGTTCCTGGGCCCAACAGAAATCGGTGACAGGGCAGGGCCAGGTTGGGCGCGCAGAACTGTGGGGAGGGGGTGGTGTATCGCTCGGGAGGGCCGCGATCGGGAAGCTTCGATTCCTCGTGGTAGCATACAAGTACATAGGCGTAGCACGTCTGTGTTTCGTTTTTTTTTTTTTTTTTTTTTTTTTTTCCAGAATTTGGATATAACGTCGAGGCAAATGTTGTTTAGTCTATTCTTCTGCATAACATATATGTTTTTGGGAGTTTTTGTATTTTTTTTTTTTTTTTTTTTTTTTTTTTTTTTTCCCCGTTTTGGGCGGGCTCATTCTTTTTCTTTTTTCTGTTTTGTTTTTGTTGTTTTGTGGCGTCGGCAGGTCCGTTTTCGTTTTGTTTTTTATTTCTTTGCCGTTTTGTGGCTTATAGCAGAGAAGGGGCCCGGCTGTACCTGTGAGGGAAATGAAAATGGGCCCCGCTGCACTGCTCTTTTTTTTTTTTTTTTTTTTTTTTTTTAAAAACCCGATTCGATGCTAGGGGGGCTGGTAAGAGCAGGCACCACTAGCATCACCAGGGAGGTTCCATCTATTGGTGGGGAGCAGCACTTGCTGGAAATCGGGTCCAGCGTCCCTGGACATTTGAATGGATTGTTTGGCCAGACGAGTAATTGTAATGACAACACCTCACAGGATCAACCTGTAACGACTATACTCTAGCAGGTAAACCTACCAGTAACCTAAGATGATTGCCTACATGCCACGCAGAGCGAATGAGAATTTCTGAGAACAATGGCCCTGAGGCCTGCCAGCATTGATTGCCCTGCGACCCAGGGGATGGACTGAGCAGGCCTATACCGTGTACACCTAACCTTAGCCACTATCCCCCAGGTACCATTCCATCTCAACCAAAGCTAAAGGAGGGGGTGGGAAGAGTTCAGCAAATCTGAGAGGGGCCAGAGTGGGATGGCGGGGTCGATCATTGTCCAATCCTGAAAGCATAGGTGGTAGTCCCTTTCCCCTTGCTCTATGTCTTCYCCCCCCCCCCCCTTTCTCCCCTCCCTTCCATGTTACCTTAGCAATCCAACCCCCTTGTTCCCTCCCCAGCCAGTCTTTACAGAACCTCTCGATGTGTTGTCTGATTTCCTGTTTAGAGTGTAGATATGTGATCTTTTCTTTGAATCTTTCCCATTGAATGGAAATGTCATTTTGTATTTGTTCTTTAATTGAAATGATGAATTCTGTTCCATCCCGGCGTACTCCTTCCATTTCAAGTGTGCATTGTTTCCACCAGATGGCCCAAATAACTACCCGGCGCCCTATTTTAAACATATTTTCTTCAAAGGGGGTAGCATGCTCTGGAGTCCATGCCTCACAAAGGAGCGCTCTCCAGTCCCAGGGCCACAGTTGTGAGGTGCCCAGTTGTCTCCATATGCGGCCCCACCACCTCCACAACCATATTGCTGCCAGGCACTGCGAAAACATGTGTTCTATGGTCTCAGGCCATTTACGAGCCGGGAAGGATGTTGAGCATATCTTGCACCACGGAAGTGCCAAACCCTTTTGTTTCAGGTGCGTTGTATCTATCAGGCAGTCATTGGTTGGCAGGGGCCTATGTTCCACCTGCCATTGGAGTGACGCTAGCTTTGCTGGCATGGCCTTACTCGCCTTAAACCATTTAATCGGTCGTAGTGTGTCTCTTCCCACGTTTAGGTGTTTCATCCAACGCGCCTCTACCACGTCTTTCAGATTTACTCTCGGACGCAACATGTGGTAGGCAGCCTTGACTGAGAGAGACTGACCTCACCCCAGACCTCCCCCTCCCATATTGCTGGGTCCATATCCACTCATCCGGGTCTAGCGGGAGCTCTTGAATTGGTTTGTTCGGTTTATATGCTTGCCATTGGTCCTTTTCTTTGAGGACTCGAATACGATATACTCCAGACCTCGGGTACCATGCTGTCTCTTATGGCTGTACCTATTTTAGAATGGTTGGCGATCACTTCCTGCTCCTCCCCCCTGCCGGCCTGGTGAGTATACACTACACTTCCAACCAACCCCTTGGTACCCCAGAACCCCACCCAATCTCCCTCCATCAGCACCAGCCCTTTCTTGAAGATTCGGATCCAGTCGAGAGGGATAGCAAAGATAATGGTCTCCAACGCTTCTCCCACCTTATGGCAGTACTTCAGTTTCTTCCTTAAACGGGTCTCTGGCAGCCAGTCCTTGGTTTCCTGGTCCCAAATATCTTTGACTCGAAGCACACCATTCTTAATCCAACCTTTCCAAGGATTTTCACTGCTATGAAAGACCTTACTTTGGGGGCCAGTTACCCACTGGTTTCCGAACAGCGGTTGACGGGCCACTTCTTCCCAGCGCATTGGTGGGACTTTGTCAGGTACGGATAACTCTTGAGTATCGTGGTCCAAAGAGGGTCTTTCTTCAAGTCTTGCCTGACCGCCTGTCTGTCTGATCCTCCCTGCACATTGGTCGGGACGATTTTTGCGGTATGGTCCAATATCTGTCCTCAAGCCACGTCTCCGGCTCTACCTCAAGGGGCGTAGGTGGCGCTAACCTAGCAATCTGCTGCAAGGCCAAGGGTTGCCACGACGCCTGTGTGGAAAAGAGAAGACCTTTTACCCACTGGAGGGCTAGGGTCATCACTTGAGTGGCCGGGTCGATTATCCCTACCCCTCCTTTAGTTTTTGGCTGCACGACCGACTGCCAGGCCACTCTACTAATGGCCCTCGGACACTCATAATTCCCCCTCCACAGGAAAGCGACCACCTGCCTCTGGAGGGAAGTTATCGCCGGTTTGCTGAGAGCCCAGATTGCTATTTTATACAAGAGGGCAACCAAAATTACATTGTTGATTACTAGGGACCGACCCATTAAGGAAGTCTGCCGGTCCTTCCACTGGGTCAGTTTCCTTAGGACTGGTTGCGTGAGCCATTCATCATTTAGAGGCGGTTTCCCCTCTGCTGTCATTTGGACCCCCAAGATTCTGATTGGGGCTTCTGTGGCCATCCATCTAATATTAGGGGTTTCTAGTGGTCTCCCTCCCTGGAAGTGAATCCACCACCCTTGTGTCTTGTCACCCCAATTAACTGTCATATTCGAGAGGGAGCATACGCGATCCATCAACTTTTGGATTTCCACATGTTTTCATGGGATGCGTCTATCATTTTAGTAAGATCATCTGCAAAAAGGGAACAGACAGTGATGACGTCTTCTAGGATGGAGAGAGCTTTATCTTTTGAAGATCCTTGTGAACCCTTAAGTTTGCTGGTAGGGCCTCCTTGATAATAACAAAGAGAAAAGGGGCAATAGGGTCTCCTTGCCTCACCGACCGTTCTAAGTGAATAGCAGGGGGCAGTCTACCATTTACTTGAACGGTCGTAGTGGCGTTTCAGTGCAAAGTTTCGACTCACCTTCTAAAGGTTGAGTCAAAATTCATCCTCTTGAGGCATCTGTCGAGAAAGGTCCAGTCAACATGGTCATATGCCTTTTCAAAATCCACAAAGATAATGACAGCGTTGTGTTTAGATTGCCTTGATAATTTGAGAACCTCATTAACGAATAGAATGTTGTCCTGGATTTTCTGTCCTCTAATAAAGCCTGTCTGTGCTAGGTGGATAATGTCCCCCATCACCTCCCCCAGACGGTTTGTCAATGCCTTTGCCACCTGTTTATATACCACAGTTAAGAGGGTGATCGGCATATAGTATTTTATGTTCATTTGATTTCTTTTCTTGTAGAGCAAGGTCAAGACACCTTGCCCCACCAGCTCTCCCATCTGACCCGATCCATACTGCGTGATAATAATCCATCAGGTCCTGTGCTAGAGTAATCCACATGGTTTCCCATAATTCCTTAGGGAACCCATCTATTCCGGGGGTCTTTTCCTCTTTCATTTGCATAAGAGCCGGCCACACCTCTTCCTTGGATAAAGACATCTCTAAATTTTCCTTTTGCTGTTCCGAGAGATGATTTTGCAATGGGATCAAAAACTCGTTTATTTTTGTTATCCTTTGTTCATATTGTTTTTCCTTACACCTTGACGTAAAAAGGTCTTGAAACTATCCGAACACACTTGGCTGTAGACGTGGCCACTGGTCCTCCGGGTTGTGACGGTTCATGCAGTGCTTCTATGGTGGTTCTGCCCGTCCTTATCTTAGTCATGGCGAAAAAACGGGCGTCCATCATCCCCTCTGTTTTGTATCTATGCAGTTTCCCTCTGATCCGCGCCCCTTGCCATCTATGTTCCACGTGCTCTAGCAAGCGAGTCTCTGTTGACACTATGGCCCCAGAGAGTTCCTTTGAGTCTGATCCTTCATTCTGCTCTTCTTGTTGTTTTAGTTGACATAGTTAGTGGTGTAAGTCCATTTCATCTGCAAGACGTCGGGCAGCGAGCCCTTTAGCAAATTCACCCGATTTCCCGCCGAGGAAGGCGAATCCATTATTAAACCAGAGGATATCATTTTCAAGTGTCTCCCTATGTGTTCTCCAATATTGCCATACATCATGTACAAAATTCTGGAAGTCTTTTCTTGCTAATAAGGAAGTGTTCAGTTTAAAGAACCCCGGTCCCAGGTCTGGCCGTTTCCTAAAGGAGAGGACAACGACACACATTGCGTGGTCCAGACCAGGGTAAGCCTTCCGCGGGAACACTTCTGCCAGTTGCAGGGCCCCTTCCAAGTCCTGTGAGATCAATATTAGATCAAT